TGATCTAGATGATCCCTTCCCTTTGTTGCAATAAAGAAACTGAGGCCCAGACATGTCAAGTGAATTTCCCCAAAGTTGCACAGTGACGTAGTGGCAGTACAAGACCAGAACTCACTGTTTTAGGCTGTGCATTGTTGTGACAACTCCCCGAAGTAATGTACAATGAAGAGCTAAGCAGAGTGCATGCATGAGTTAGACAGACAACAAATGTGTCTTTCCTCTCTTCCAGAAATCTGTCACAGAATGTTGCATGGCAGCCTTAGATGCCAGACATAATCCCACCCGACTAGTCATTTTACCAATGAAAAGAAACAGATCCATAGGAAACCTACCTGTCCAAAACCATGCAACTAGATGGTGGCATTGGCTGACCTGGAACCTGAGGCTTCTGGCCTCAAATCTCTCATTCTCTTCACTATGCCACAATGCCTCTCTCTCACTATTAAAAGTGAATAGTTTAATAACACATGATGATTTTATGTATCCCATATATGGAACCAGTTCTCAAATTTTATCTCGACTATTTAACTGTAAAACAAGAAAGGTCCGAAAACGCTCTGGAGCCACTAAAGTACATAGTATGGTTGCTGAGCACCCCAATTCTATATTTTTACCTGTTTGAGCTTCTTTCCCTTTATTCATGATACTCTGCCCACCGACCGTGTTTCCTAGTAGGGAGTCGCATGCACAGGAGTCAGGCCTTTCAAACCAAACCTGACCAAGTACCTGCTTCTTCACACATCTCCCATCACAACCATAAGCTCAGCTAAACCTACCTTCTGGTATCAAAAGTCAAATGAGGAATAGTCCGTACAAATGAATCTTTTCTAAAGAGGGCTCAGGGAATACTGTGAAGATTAGGTGGCTCAAAAATTCTGGTAAATTTTAGGGGCTGCCTTCTCAGCAAAAGTTTTGATCAACAATGAATGGAAATCAGCTGTCTTCAACTTCCTGGGAAAATGTGACATTATCTTATTTGAAGTGGATGCTTTATGGTCTTCACTATATTATTACTGAATATTCATTTCATGGTCTAAGATACCAATGATTCTGCAATACGATATTTGAAGATGATCACAAAACCTTCATGCAAGGCTCCAGCTTATAAATCCCTTACATTTATTCAAATCTTGAGAGATGACAAAAAAACTTTCACATCCAATATTTCTTCTGATCCTCAGAGCAATGTAATAAAGTGACCATTCTGATCACCACTTTTCAGATGAGCTCACTGGACTCAGAGGATGAAGGGCTGGAATAAAGTCCACAGAACAAAAAACTAGATCTTTCTAAAAATGCCTACCCATCAAAGGGCATGGGTTGGAAAGAGGCATTCAAAACGTATCTAGGGAAAGGGGTAGGGATGAGGAAAGGCAGGGGCATGGAAGCTTAAGATAGATTTACCAATTTTTCACATTGTGCTCCAGCCATGGACTGATTGTTGTGTTCTTTCTTTGGAACCACTGTCTCATGGAGTAAGATGGTACCCTCAAAATTTGGAAATTACTTAGTACTAGAACTAGCCCCAAATCTAAACAATGCCAGGGAGCGAATGGGCCATACCACATACCAGAAGAGCTGAACTGCCTTTATCCATCTGTTCAAGTGCAAATGGGTAACTCAGAAATGTGGAAAGGCTGTTTATTCTGCAAACTGAGCTCTTCGGGATTCTTCAGGTAGGAAAGGAAAGGGGGATGGACTTGAGTCATGCTCGCTGAGAATTAGGGATCAACCTGAGTCAGCTTGAGGAAGAATCTCAGTCCTTCCCTTCTCTGACACTTGGCTTTCTCACCTATAATATGAAGATAATCTCTTCCTGAGGGTTACAGTGAAGAGTATATAAACTAGTTTATACTTAAAAAGAGGCTAACAGAGCTTGGAAAGACAGTAGTAGGTGCTCCTCTCTTCTTGCTTATGATATTTTCTGCTGCTCTCATGTAACCTCATACGCCAGAACCAATGCACAGAGAAAAGGAGATGTATGTATTACTTAACAGCAAGGAAAACAAAATTGATTTTGGAAAAACTACCACACAAAGATTCGTAATTGTATTTATAAAAGCAATTAAATTAGTTGGTAAAGGCAGGGGAAAAAAAGATAGCTATTCAATGGGAGGTAAACTCCTATTGGTGTTTTCTGACACCGGATTCTTTTGACCTTCAAACAAGAGTGGACTTTTGTTTCTTCACCAAGAATTTAACATTCCAAAAAGGTATGTGGAACAAGTTAAACTGCTTGCATATTTCCACTTACATAACACTTACATAGCACATCAGCTTTTATTTTTTCCAGATACAAGGAGATGAAGCTTGGAATATATTCCTGTGAGAGAATAAATAGAAAACTATGTCTCTCTTTCTAATATATTAGTGCCTTGTAATCCAGACCATACGATCAATAAACTATATAAAAATTAAACCATTCTGACAGTCTTAGGCAAAAAGTGAACCAAGTAGAAACAATTTTTTTTAGGCCTGTGGTGTGTAGAATATTAAAATCACATGTTGTGTTACTAATTTTCTTTTGGAAGCCAAATAGAGTTCTCCTGTAAATTTCTCAAGTATTTACCTAACAGTTTTTGTTATTAAAGGTGTTAGAGGCATTAAATTAGTGATATTGTAATTAGGCCTATGCATAGGTGAGACACTGATAAATCAGTTTGAAAATGACTTTGTCGACATAGTTTTAATGGCAAGACACATACCTTAAACCAGACAGCTATGTGCTTCTTATAATAAAATACAAGGTCCTGTTACCTTATTACTTTTTTTGAGGTAAACAAATCACTTATTCAAACAGAACAACATTGAGTAAACAAAATAAACAACTAGGTTTAGAGTACCAGCTTGGGGTGGGCGGTGCACAGAGAGTAGGAGGGGCAGGTGAAGAAATGAAACGTGCGAACATACACTTAACTTACACCTTCCATGCACAGCAGAGTGGCTTGGGGTTTCTGTGTCCCTTGCTATGATATAGCTGATAGATGTGTCTTTTTGCAAATTCCTTCACAATTCTTTTTTCTTTAATAAGAATACACCATCCATCCCTTGGGAATGCCTTCTGAAATCAGAAGCGTGGAAAGGAGGAGGAGAGCAATGAAGCTGTACAAAGGCTGTCAAGCTCGTTCTAGCGCTGCTTTCCTAATCACAAGGTAGGAGGTAAGAGGGTACACTGCACCAGCAGTCAAAAGAGAGCTTACCCTACCATCAACCGAACATGCCAGTAAACACTGGGAAGCCCCAGGAAAGTTTACAGCAAACAGCTTCAATGTGTTTAGTGTTTCCTTGTTCTCCCCTAGGACCAGGGAGGGTCTCTTAAAAATTCAATAGCTTGGCAGAGACTTTTACGTATCAATCTTCTCCCTGTGCATCATAATAAGCCAGCAGCCTTCAGGAAGGTAGGCCCCCCAGTGACAATTCCTTTACATAGCATCTTTAAATTGAATTTCTTTGAAGAGGTGGAAATAGGATTTAGCAGTCACCTTTCTTCCCTTGCACAGAGCACCTTAAACTCTCTCAGTATCTAAAGGGGAGCATTCTTACTTTTAAACTCTTGAGAGTCCCATCTTTCTTTGACTCAAACTTTACTATGGGCAAACTTTACTATCAGGAAAGCCAATGACTGATAGACCTAGGTAAGGACCCTGCAACAAAAAGTCATGAACAGAGGAAGTGTAAGTCCAGCCCAAGAAGTCTCTGGTTTGCACGCTCTGCCTGGACAAATTCATTTCAAAGGGGACTTAAGTCTCTGTGCAGGAATTCTATTTTAAGGGAACTGAATTGGGAACACAGATGTTCCTTCAGTTAGCAGAGTTGGCAGAACAGCTCCTGGACCAAATCCGAGTTCTTAATGCAGGAAGGGGCCTTGGAGAGCATCTAGTTCAACCCACTTACTCAACTGATGAGGAAACTGAGGCCAGGGAGGCAGTTGGGTGGCACACCCAACAAGGGCAGAGTGGCAGTGTCGCGATGACAAGTCCCGTGCACTTTCCATTACACCATGATTCGCTTAAAAAAAATTTTTTTTTTCTGTGCTGACTTCAATCTTGGAACTCCTGTAGATGTATGTCAATAGCTTTTTGCCTCCCCGCACCGAGTTCATAAATCCTCTTTACTCTCTCATTCCAATTCCTTTAACTCCCTCCGCTCTTCTAAGCTGTGGCTTCCAAACAGTTTGATAAACAAGAAGTGAACTATCGCCTCAACTTTCTGGGGTGCAATTAATTGTGGTCCCAAAACATGACCATGCTTTTTCTTTCCTACTGCCTCAGTTTCCTCATCTGTAAAACGGGGCTCCTCACTCGCAATGCACCGAGTCAGGGAGAGGGCTAGTTAAACCTAACAACTTAGCACGTAGCAGGCGCCTAAGTGACTGCAGAATCGGTACCCCGCTACAAAGCCCCTAGAGAGCACTTTCCAAAACCCTTGCGGGGTCTGGGGGCGGGGTGCGGGTGGATGTTGAGAGAGGAGCAAGTTGAAAGGCCAGCATGCAGGTCTGGCCGGGTCCGGGCAGCAACAGCGGAAGGGGTTGGATGTTTACATACAGTCAGGGGAAGGGCAGCTCGGCCCCAGGCAGGAGCCCGGAGCTCCAGGAGATCCATTTTACTTGGATGGAGGGAAACAAGCTATGAGCTGCTCGAGATCGTGGTTCAACCAACCTCCCCTATTCTGGAAGGGCGAACCCACACCCCTTCCAAGTGGAGACGGCTTTTAAGGAGCCTGTTTAGTTGCCCGCAAAAGCCTAAGCACCACCAAACACTCATGTGCAGGCCGGGAAGTCGGTGGGAGCCGGGAGGGTGCGGGCCTGGGGGCCAGAGGGGCGCGAAAGCTCCCCAAGAAGGCTGCGGGGGCCGCCCCGGGGCTGACAGCGCCGCGCTGCCTGGAGACGCGGCGGGCTGG